TTTTTCACAAACCCCACCACACGTATATACATACATGCGAGGAAATATTTTTCAGCGGAAAAATACATAATATGACATGTATACATTAACGAGACATTTCCACCACACTTCCAATGTTTAAATTTCAACATTTCAACATACAAATGCGTATGTATAGATATAACACCACCCGTATACATACATGTGTCATAGCCGAAACTGCCCACATATGTTTATATATGTATGAGTCCCGACGGACGACCAAGTATGTATATGTGTCTGCATACATCGATGTTTGCGTTAGTACGATGAATGACAAAACGACGAAATTTCCCCCACCACTTCCACAATAACACCAATACACGCAATCTACATAAACCCAAATTTTTTAAAACATTAATCAGTTTGTCTGACGATCTCTAAAGCGTGAAACCCAAGGTCACAAACTCACATCTATCCAACCAAATATGTTAGCTCTATCTCTGATATTGAGCGCTTTCTAATAAGTACCGCGTATATAATATATAAATAATTATACATATATATATTTATTTATTTATATTTATATATATATATTAATATATATATATATATATATATATATATATATATATATATATATATAATCAACTCCGACTAGTGACTGTTTTCTACTTGAATGCAATCTTCAGGCCATGTGTGTTGTGCATTGCTTCGACTATTTGCTCGTCAATGGGCATTGTGCTTAGCACGTCTATTGTATTATCCTAACGGTTATTGGGTAGGTGGTATCGTTTTTTATTGTGACTAATTTTTGTTAATTGACCATCCGTAAGTCAGGTTTGGAAATAGGTCATATTGTAGTTTTTTTGGTTTTTTTTTGTTTTGTTTTTTTTTGCCTCAAAATGCCGGAAATTCTTGTTTTGTGTTTTAGATCAGCTTCCAATTAGTTTTGCTATCATTTGTCACGGAATTTTTCTTGTCATTTTTTTCACCATTCTTTTAAATAAGGAGAAGAGAAAGTAACATGTAAAAAAAGAAAAAAAATTAGAATATTAGAAGAAAATTTGACGAGATATCTGTTTACTCCGGGTAACAGATTAAGACTTGGCTTAAAACTGGTTATAATGAGGGCAACAGATTTTTCAGTGCTGATGGCGGTTAAGTGTTGTTTCCGTTAGAGTCAAATTGTGCGTAGCAGATTAAATTATTACGTTGACTCATAAATAATGTTTCGTTTGCCTTTATCAAATTTATTGTTAAAAAAAAATAAAATTTATTAATTATAGTTTTACACAATCATCAATTCACCATTATTTGCAATGATTCCTTGCCACTTATCAGGTAACTTTTCAATACCTTTTGAGTAACTTTTTTTTTCCAGGTTTCGATTGGGAGAAACTTTCGACAAAATCTTCAATCTGAGCTTCATTAGAGAACGTTTTCCCCTTCAAGGAGTTTTGCAGCCACCGGAAAAATGAAATTAGTGGCCACAGTGCAATGCCTGTTCAGAATGTACATTTACTCCTTGGAAAGCTCAACCCATGGTCCTCTTTTTTGTCTCCAGTCTCGAATCATATTTTCTGTTACGCCATAATTTGCAACAGTGCAGTTATGTTCGGGCCATGGTCGGGTCTTGTGATAGCTGGATTCTAATTTTGTTACTCTGGATAATGGTAGTAACAAAGTATGAGCTCGCATCCCCCACAACCACTACGTATTGACAATAACTGGCTAGTATGCTAAATTATGATTACCAGTTTATTATTTGAATTATTACTATAAACATATTTTTCCTAAACGCGCTGTCTAGCGAAGCGCTTTGAACACACACAAGGGTAGCAGTTGTTTTGTTTATAGTGTGTGGCAAAGGTTTTGGATTTCTTTTTGACGAATAGGCGTTTTATTGTTGTTATTCACTCATACTACATATTATATAAGATAAGAGTACTTTTATTACACTACATATTTATTGTTATTATAATAATATGAATTAAGTTGTTTCAGTGTCGATATTTACCAAGGCAGTGATTCTTTTTTTTTTTTTTCTTTTTATGTGCTATGTCCTTTCAGGACGTCGGAGATCATGGCTCTCCACCTGCCTCTGTCCCTTGCAGCTCTCAACATGTTCCTTTCCACTGCCACCTCCCCCAGACCACGTTCTGTCATCCACTTGCTTAAGTCCGCCAGATATGTCTTTCGTTGTTTTCCCTTGTCTTTCTTTCCCTCTATTTGATCCGTGAGTATCAGATTCTCCACGCCCTCTTTCCTCATTATATGTCCCAGAAACTTCAGCTGTCTCTTCATGATGTTAAGTATAAGCCTCATCCTTGTTTGAAACCTCTCTAAGACCTCATCGTTGCTCACACACTCAGTCCATGATATCCTTAGCATCCTTCTGTAGAACAACGTCTCCGTCGCCTCGAGTCTCTTCTTCATCTTTGAGAAAATCGTCTAACATTCGCTGCGGTAAAGAAGGACAGATGTCACGTAACAGGTCGGTATTCTTTTCTTTGTTACCAAATATATCTTTTGTCTCGCAATACTCTGCCCAGCTTTTGGAATGTGTCCTACGTTTTAGTTATTCTCATTCACTAATTTTTTTCCTAGGTTTGCAACAATATATATGAAGGCACCGTAGTTTCTTTCATTTCTTTTATTTTCCTAAATACTTTCAATCTTATCCGAGATCATCTTCAGGGGGAATTGCTAAGACAAATAAATTATATAATTGATAGTTGTGATTTTTTTGTAAATCCGCATGGAACGCGCTCGGTTAATTAAAAAAAAATTAACGTTATCTAAGGGAGTTAATTTATAATTGTCATTTTTTTATTACATTTAAGTAATGTAAAATACTGCTGTTATAATTTTATTTTTTTTAATTACACTTTCGGTATTTTAAAACCTTGTTGTTATAAACATTTTAAAACGTTGTTAATATACTCATAATTAATCTTATTTAATGTTGGTTGTATTTTTATATAAAGGGCTTGTATTGTCAAGTAATATTTCTTTAAATCTTGAATGTGGACAGGAATGTTCCTTGAAATGTTCTGCAATAGAGCTTGCATATAATGCAAGTCTCTTCGATAATGTTGTCGTCTGAAACCAATATATATATATATATATATATATATATATATATATATATATATATATATATATATATATATATATATATATATGTTGTTATGATATATGTTGTTATGAAATGATTTCCTTCGTATTTTCTCAGTCGAAAGCTTGTCTATCATATTCTGCCCCCCACACACACACACACACCTTACTGCTTGGGTACTTATTTAATATCTATGTTTTAGCTATAGTAATTACACGACCATTTACATATCACTACACCCATTGAAGAATTTCCCAGGGATTGAAAAATACAAAAACCGGTTGGACAAACCCTTTATTTAATCCAGATATATTCTTCTCCTGATTAAGGAATATTTCATAAAAGTTGATACTCGATTTTTCCTTTGTCCATTTCCTCTACTGAAGCAGAGTATATAATTTTTCAGCACATCCGGGCCTTAGAATTGAATTCTCTGTTGAATACGTCTGGTAGGGCAGAAACGACCAAATAAATTGTGTTAGTCTTGTAATCAAATTTTCTTTTAACCTGTTAGCAATTACTGGGAAAATACATTTCGCAAAAAATAAAATTATGCCATGTCTCTTCAGGACAGAGGAAATCATAGCTCTCCACAGCTTCCTTTTTTAATATCGAAATAAGTAACTTAGTCAATGTTCGGTAGGATTAGCTTGATAACAATCAGTTTTCTCTAGCCGCTCAAGAAAAGGTCAATGTCGAGTTTTAAAATTTAGCTTACTCAGATACAGTTATTCTATAGAGAGCTAATTGGTATGTATCGATCTAATTATATTAGCTAAAATCTGTGAGACTATTGCAACTTGATAAGGTGATGATTTTTTTACCTTTTTCGTGTATCGATATAATTGTCTGTAGCTTATTGCTTCTATTGTTTTATGATTGGTCGACAGCAAATTAAAAAAAAAGAATGTCTCGGTGTAACGACATAAGTCAGGACAGAATGATTAGTTTGAGAAAACTTTCATAATATTTTTTCCCACATATCAATTCTAAACAAAGAAGTACAAAATACCAAGAATAAACACAGAATCTAAATGATAAAATTATGCATCTTGTACGAAACGCTCTTCGCAATCATGTCTGATAGAATTGTGTAGAAAAATACTAACATAAAATTATGAAATTAAAATAGATTTTTTTTTAAAATAATTTCTTGGAATTTTGAAACAAACACTTTAATCAATCCTGCAGGGTATACTCTTCACCTGTTAGATAATATTTCATATCAATGGGTACCAGTCGTTTGTCCATTTCTTTCACGGAAACAGAGTATGTGACTTCAGTGCATCCAAGCCTTAGGATTGAATTCGTAACTACCATTTTAAGTAAAATTGGACAATCAAGTGGTGTCATTTTGGAACCATAAAACTATTGTTTGTGCTCAGGTGGTGGTATTGTTTAATTATGTTTACTCTCTTGGTCATACAATCCCCGATAATATTCTGATGAAGGCCGGGGAATAAATAGTCGAAACGTTGTGATACAAAAAGTAGATGAAAATGCTGGTACGAAAGGAAAGGCATATGATAAATTGAAATTATACGTCACAAATTATATTAGGTAATACAATGATATCTAAACATAACAAAAGGTCAGTGAATTAAGAAAAGATTACTGATATGTAGGGGAAGGCACTGTGGAGTAATGGATAACGGCTCGAAGTTCGAATCCCAGCCGAATCCATTGCATTCACTTACGTGCTAATACCCTTTGGAAAGGTATGAATCCTCTTCTTCTTCCCCCAGGACAAACATAGACTTGGATGGTCACTGGTCTACCGCAGAAGGAAATGGCAACCTACTGCGGGAAAAAAAATTTGCCACGTCAGTCATGTATCGAAAGATACATGATCGCTTAAGTGTGTATCACGCATGGCATATAACTGACTGATTCCTTGTATATATGCCGAGTTCGAATGCCA